GTAGGGAAATAGCAATTGCACAGTGGCAATTGCCGTAAGAAGTGGGTAATGATGGTGGTAATTTGAAGCTTAGTTGATAACGCAGCCTTCCACACATGCTGTTCAGTATTAAAAGTGTGGGAGGGTCAGTGGGACTTAGGAACAGCTTTATCCGCTTCTGTTCCCAGAGTGCTACGCTTTGCTTTCGGTCATCAGCACTTTTTGGTTTTTCATACCTTATTTTCCTTGTCTAGACTGTTCATGAGGCAGCAGGCAGATTTTGCAATAGGGTAGCTCAAAGATTTTTTTTTTTTTTTTTTTTTTTTTAACACTTCATGCAGGCAGCCTTCCAAACATAAAAGAGATCAAATTTTTAGAAGAAAAATTATCTGAATAAAAAACTGAAGGGGGAAAAAAATATGGCAAGATCTTGGAACTAACCATAGCTTACATACGGAGTCTTACGGTTAAAAAAGCATAGGTGTTTTGCCCTTAATATATGTGGTGTGTGCAATCATCACAGTAATTGGCTAGCCTGGGCTCCCTAAATGGCTCAGCTTTTTCTGTGCTTTGTGTGGTTGCAGTCACCATACCAGACAGCCAAGCTGTTTGTATTTAGCATTTTTTATCATCACACTTGTATTGTAGTAAAGTAATTTATAAAAGAAAATTGTAAGATAATGCTTTTGACACTAATGTGTTATATAACCACTGTCATAGACCAGCAGAAAATTGGCCTTCAGTAACTTTGTTACTGATACTAGATAGCTCTATATATAGGTAGGATTTGGAGTTAGGTTTCAAAGCACAAATTAATATCTTAGCTAATAACGTCTGTCTCTGTTACTTTTAGTACTTGGGATGCAAAGCAAGGTCCAGTGAAGGATGCCTACAGCCTGGCCAATAATCCCCAGTACAAGCTAGAGGTCCAGTGTCCTCAAGGTGGTGCTGCTGTCTGGGTTCTGCTTAGCAGGCATATCACAGATAAGGTGCCAGCTTCTTTTTCGTACATTTTCTGTATTGTGAGTTCTATAATAATCTTCCATAAGTCTCTTTATATGGCTTTCTATGTTGTTAGTATATTACTGCTTATATTTTCATGTTCAAGTATGTACATCTATGTATATGTATAAATTTTAAATTCATCAGGTACACATAATTGTATACAAGATTGTTGAAAGAGACCCAGAGTAAAAATTTGAGTGAGGTGATTATATTCTCCACCATAAAGGTAACGAAATAACTCTGAACTGTTATAAGTGAAATTAGTGGCAGTTTGTTTATTTCAGGGTTTTTTTTTTTTAAGGAATTGGATGAGGTATCTTTAGTAAATACAAGTATCGGTGATATGGTGATCGAAGGGGATGATAGAATGCACATTTGATTCTGCTTAAGCATTAGTTACATTGTACACTTCTGTGTACAACTCTGCTTGATTTGTGGTTTTTGTTTTGTAGGATGACTTTGCACACAATCGGGAATTCATTACAATGGTTGTATACAAGACTGATGGCAAAAAAGTTTACTATCCAGGTTAGTGTACATTCATTGTCAAGAAGATGATGTTAGAAATAAATGAAGAATTGCAGAGGATTTTGTGGGGAGGAAAGGCACTTTTTGCTTTAAAACTAGATGCCTCACTCCAAGAGGTCAGTCTTCTGAAAATAGTCATTTAGCCCTGTTTGATCACTTTCAACAGTCTACACTGAAGGAATAAACCGAGCTGTACATGTTGGAAGCACGCGAAGAGGTCTACGTAATCCTGCTGACACTTTATTTGGCACAGCATTTTCTTTACTGTTCTGTTGATTTTGCAGTGGCGGTAGTTAATGCTTGCAGGGAACAGATGTTGTGCTTCTGTTTATTTGATAGTATAATTCTTTCCCAGATTTCTGAAATTATTTGAAAGTTCATGGCTTCCACTAAATGAAAATAATCAAGGTCAATTGTTCTATGAACTTGGCTTAGCAAAGTAACTAAGCAAGCTCGTGAGATACAGCTGAACACTTCAACATATTTCAAAGCATAATGTATGGAATATTTAAGAAAAACATTTAGATGTTCAAATTTTAACAAAATATTATTCTTGGTCATTATAGGTCAGATTCTACTCACCTTGAGAAGAAGGGGCTTGGCTTTTGGAGCTGCTTTGTAGCTGCAAAAAAGCCATGCATGTTTTATTTCAAGACACATAGCAGCTCTGAAACACAGGTTGACACACAGAAAGTAAATGTAATGCCCAGGCTGAATAGATAGGGTAGACTGCAACTTTAAGGTGGTGCTAATAATATCATATTTTTATTTATTCTTTACATCAAGTTAGAGATCTCTGTAAAAACATTCCTTGGAATAATTCAGTGAAGGTACATCGTAACACAGGTAGGATTTGGCCTGTTGCTTTTACAGAGAGGGACCCTCTTTAGAATCAGGATTGCATTCAGGTAGCTGCTCATGCAACAGGTAATGGCAACAGTTAATTAGAGAGTAGCTTTTAAAGCTCTTTTCACCAGAGTGGATTTTGTTCGGTTTTTGTCCTATTGGAATAACTGGTAAGGATTGCATTGTTCATCTCTGGTCTTACTCAGTCAACGCTGCTGACCAATTCCCCTAGAATCCAAGCTGTCTTTCTGTGGAAAGCATCTGTTGAGATCTGACCAAATCATCATCTGTTTTTGCAAGAGCTGATCTTTGTTAAAGCATCTGCTTCTTATAGCCCATGACATGCTTCTGGTGTTGCTAGTACTTGTAGCAGTGCTTTTTTTACATGCTGTCTTATTGAAAACATTCTCAAGTGGGCAAACCAAACACATTTGTGTAGTGGAGGGAGTTGCTCAGCTGTGCTTGAAAGAGAGTCTTCCAGCAAGACCACTAGCAAGAACTGGATGATTCATGTGTATTGTCTTGCTACTCAAACTCTTTTATAAACTTTTAATCTCACTATCTCAAACTCATTTAAAACCTTTTTCCATGGAAATAGATTGGTCAAGCTGCAGTGTATATATACATATTTTTACCATCTGTTAAAATTAGATCAGAACAAAGCAGGTTAATCCTTTGGCAGTGAGGCTGAGATTTCCCATTTCTAAGCTTCTCATTGTTTTATATTAGTCCTTTCCCCTCTCCCATGTTGCTTTATGGAACAAAAAAAGGACCTGATCCAGGGCCTATTGAAGTAATTGGCTAGCCTTGTTCCTGCTTCACTGAAATTAAAACAAGTCTGCAAAGAACCAGTTAGAGGCCAAATAACAAATTACATTGTCTAGTTGTGAAAGCAAATATTTGGGATGTTTATAATAAGTACCGCATGTGTGTTGGTACTGGGATGCAGGTACATCAGCATAATGATCACAAGGATTTGGAGAGACAGAGAAAGTGTGTATCAGTTAGTTAAAGAAGCTAACATGTTTTAAAGTCTTATTTACCCACTGTCCAAAGATTTTGGCAGCTGGTGTTCTGGAACTCTCCAGACAGTGGAGAAGGAACAGCCTTCTCAGAGATTTTTAACGAGTGCTCAGACATTCCTTCTCTCTCTCTCTCTAAATTTCAACATTACTCAAAAGCAGACCTCCTGTGATTGTGACGTTGGTGGGAGATGGATAAGCAGTTCTTGCAAGTCACAGGATTTAAGCTGTACTTTCAAGTGCAGAATTTGTGTCCTGTCGTGTGTGATGTACCTCCCCTGAAAATGATAGCTGCTCTTAAGGTTTTCTGTCCTTTTTATGAACAAATCTTGAGGCTCTGTTCTTCTGAGAGCACTCAAGTCTGCTTACAGACTAACCTTAGTACCAACTTTCTGACTTTCCTGGTAAAATTCACTGATCTAAAACGACTTAGAAGTTTAGCAAGCTGGGGGATGTTTTGATCAGGGAAAAGTGTTCATCCTTTTCTTTTTCAGCTGATCCTCCTCCATATATCGATGGTATTCGGATCAACAGTCCTCACTATCTGACCAAGATAAAGCTGACCTCTCCCGGGCCCCATACATTTACCTTGGTGGTGTCCCAGTATGAGAAACAAAACACTATCCATTACACTGTCAGGGTATGTAGTGTTGAGTTCATAATGCATGTAAACAATTAAACTATAAAGTGTCCTTTATTTGTAAGTCTGATTTAAAAAGTGTACTCGTGGATCGATATTGTTATTTTTGGGGAGGGAGGCTATGAATGATGGAGCAGAAACACTGGATGAAGTGCTTGATAATGTTCTCCACTGTAGTTAAGATGATATAGTGTGTGTGGTCTTAGTAATGAAATCAGATGAAGAATACTTTTCTAGAATTAAAAAATATCTGTGTACAGGCAGAGCATTGGCTCTCTGTGTATCCAAAATAAGCCTGTTTCAGATTCCAGTTAAGATTGAAAATTTTGTGACTTCTTTAAATCCTTGAACTCAGTATTTGGGTTTTTCTGTAACTGCTGAGTCATGTGATGATCAATGCCAGATGTCTCTCTTTTGCACTGGAAAAAAGTAAAATGCAGATTGTTTCCATTTTGCCTTTTTTAATAAAAATTAAATAGAACTAAGCCTTGTTAGTCCCAGCACTATTGTGGATTTTTTTGTTTCAGATGGGGTCATCTGATGAGTAATAGGCATGTAGTGAACAAGTATCTAAAAATCATGTGTAGGCAATTCTGCTTTTTTTTTAAACATGTCATGATTTTATATGAAAAGTGCAAGATAATTTTTTTTTTTTTTTTTTTTTTTTACAACACAGGTGTATTCCTTGTGCAAGTTCACGTTTTCCAAGATTCCTACACCTTACACCATTTCCAAACGGGTAAAGAAATGTTTTCTTTCATGGGTCACTGGATAATAATTCTGGTTGGGCTCTTCCCTACTTGATATGTACAAGGTTTTTAAATATATTTCTATACTACTGCCCAAAAATGCCAGCTTAGACCATCTAACAAATGAAAATTTTTAACTAAACCTTAATCTAAGCATCATTAGCACAAGACCTGTACTCAGGTTACATACAGTTTGCCAAACAAGTAGCTGCATGGTTAGCATAATTCATACCAACACAGAAGTCCTTGGGCTGACTCACTCTGTTCACACCAGTCTGTAACGGTGGCTTAACTGTCACTGGCATCTGGTGTATAAGTTCCACCTTAGTTACAGAGCGTGTTGTTATACCTGTACCATTGCAGGTACACTGTAAAGCCTTCGTAGAGTAGAGTGGCCTTTAGAATAACCACCTGTACCCTGGTAAGTAATTACTCTGCAGAGATCAAATTGTGCTAGTACTACTGCAGGGTAAAAACCCTGCAAGAGCGTTCCTCATTTTCCCTTGAGAGAATTGTGGGATTTTCTTGGAAAAACTCCTGGCATGATGGGACAAAATCAGCAATGGCAAACCAAAGGCACCAGTAATAAGACTGTGACTGTGACAAATGGACTTAGGATGGCAATATCGCAATAAGTTATTGTTCCTAAATTTTGCTAAGACTTCTCAAAGGTCTGTAACCACTGGGGTTAGCACTCTCATTGCCAAACAGGATCAAGGCAACATACCCATGGTATATTTCACTTAGAAATGCTCCCTGAGACTACAGCAGCAGGGGCAAGAGCAAAAAATTTGACTGAAATTAAGTCAGTAGCCCAGGCAGTTTTGGGGCCAGCTGCTGTTCGTATTTCAGCTGTCAACATGAGCTGCAGTTATACCTTCAGCTGAGGTATAAATATAGCCAAGAGCTCAGAGGGTAAAGTAACTTGCATGTATTTTCATGTATTAGCAATTTTATCCTCAAGAAGGAATAAGCCAGCAGCTGTTAACTTTAATCTCTGTACCTACCGTGCATACTCTGGGGAATCCTATTATGGGCAGATGTCTTCTGTCCAAACAGTAACTTCTTCAGGAAGAGACAAACAAGGCTAGTTTGAGCCACGGTGAAACAGTCCATTTTCTAGGACACTTGTGTCTGAAGCCAAGGATTACATTACTTTGTGTGGTCAGGGGGACATAGTGGCTTGCAGCTAGGCTCTTGAGTTCTGAGAGTGTTTTGTACCAGCTGTTATTTCTGGAACAGCCCCTTAAAGCTAACCTGGTCTGGAGAACGGTAAGTGGCTAGAGGGATTCCTGGGAACACTGAGACAATTTGCTTGGTACTTCTGGAAACCATTGTCATTTTTAGCTCTTGAAAACTGGGCTTAGTTTGGGGGAATGCTTTAAGAGGTCAAAAACTCACTGGAGGTGACCAGCCTGTTTGAGGCAGGACATCTGTTTTATGTTGTACTATGTTTCAAAAGAAAATTAAGTATGTGGAAACCTCCTGTTAATTATTTGAAGATGTCTGTCTAGTATTCAAATAAAAAAGGCATGTTCTAGCTATCCAAGGCTGGCTCTGTCTTTATGGTTAAATATCAAAACTTAGTTGCCTGTGCTTAATGCTTATTTGGTGCCTGCTTAAGCAGTCATCGCACTTAAACACAACCAGATAACTAATTCACAGTTTACCAATAAAAGCGATTTCTGTTAGATGTCTTATATTGACGTTGAGTGGCCACCTCTGGGGCTCCTCAAGCCCTGGGAGGATTCCTGTAACTAAGTGCAGCAGAGGTGGAAAAGGCCTGGCAAGCTAACAGCACGCAGCAGTTTTAGGTTCCTGAGTAGTAGCATGGTGGGGGGAGAAATCCCCCTTGCTTCCAAACTTGACATGTTTGAGGGTTTTGGACACTGAGTAAAGAAGCTAAATCACAGGAAAAAATGTTGCTCCTTGCTAGTTTGACAGAAACGGGAGGGAAGTAACATAGGAGGAATGGATCTAAGCTATAAATTTGTGTGAATGCCTGGCATGTCTTACAAGTCTAACCTTTCAGTTTAATGACTAGTGGGAGGAACTTGCGAACAGATGGCCTGTTTCTCAAACTCTGAGCAGCATTTTTCCTCTTGTATGTCTTTGTGGCATCTGTCCTTAGGGATATCTTGGCCCTGTAATGCTGGTTCTGAGTGTATAGAGGTGAATGGACAGTGCTGGAGGCAGTGATTTCAAAAGGAGAGGTTACAACACAGGTCGCGTGTACTTGCTGTACCGCTGCCGTTTGTCATTTAGCACAACGGAGGAGTCTTTGAGAGGAAAAAAAAAAAATAGCCTGCATAGTCCAGTAGTTATGGGATAGATAGGAATGTAAATCCTTTGTTAGATGCAATATGTCATAGTTACAAACAGTTACTCAGTACTGATTAAATATAAGCTGAAAAATACAGTGGACTTCTAAGGGGTCTAAAGCTTTGATCAAGATGGGTGGAGGACTGCAGTGAAACTTTCTGAATACTTAACAGTTGAGTCTTTCACTTGCACTTTAAAAAGTAGGGAAGATTACTAAAGTTGGTGATCTCTAAAGTGAGAGGAGCCTCTAGCCTTGTTTGTGTGTATAAATAAGCAATACAGATCCTCAGGATATAAAGTATTTTCTGTACTTCTTTCAGGTTAATGGACAGTGGAAAGGTCACAGTGCTGGAGGATGTGGCAATTTCAGAGACACCTACAAAAATAACCCCATTTATCAATTCCAGCTGGACAAGAATGGGCCTTTACTAATTGAACTACGGGGACCAAGGTTTGTAGAGAATAAGCGTGCACCAACACAGCGAGAGTATTACATGCTAAAGATAAACCTTTTTCAGTATCTTCCCTGGGGAGTGTGGTAAGCTCCCTGAAAATCCAGAAGACAAGGTAGGAAGGTGGCTCAGATTTAGTACTGCTTATGTTTCTTAACTGCACCAGCAACAGTGATTTAAACCTGCATGTTTGCTACTGAGGAAATCCTTGACCTTCTTTCTCTTTAGTTTTGGGGTCCGAGCAGAGCTAGGCCCTTGCACAGGAGGGAAGAAGGTACAAAGGACTGTTTCTTCCTCTTAAAACTAATTATGATCATAATTCCTTTTGTAATAGACCTAATATGGAGGACACTAAACCCTTAAAGGCTGTCAAATACTGGCCTATGCAGTAGCTTCAGCTCTGAAGCTCTGCCTCTAGCTGGCCAGGAGAAGTATTGGCTATCAGTGCCCTATAGAGTAGACCTGTGCAGGTCAAATTCCTTTGGCGAAATGCATGATCTGCCTCAAAATACCAGTATACAGCATTTCTAAGTAGCAGCATCTCCTGACCTGCAGTCAAGTGTTTATCTTTTGCAAAGCTGTACACTGGGCCCTACAAATTGGCAGCACTTCTTTGCCTGTCCTCTCCTCTTTGAGGAACCCCCTTCTCTCATGAAGTGAAGATGAGTGCAAAGGTGTGTCTCTACTTTTCCAGTAACTGAGTGGGGCTTTTGTATGCATTTTTTTTGGCACTTGCAGATCATGTTTGGGTAGTTTGAATGACAGGGGCAGTGGTGCCTGTCACATGCATTAACAGGTAGTAGAGAAACTGCCCCAAGTTAGAGTGCAACATGAGAAATTCTGCTGAGGTCACCGACATTGATTCCTCTGACAGTGATCAGCTCAGAGCCCAGGATCTGTGCCACGTGGCACCAGAGTATGTCACCACAGGTTTAACTACTTGAAGTCTGCTTAAATGCAGAGGCAGACTTCTAGCAGGCGTTTTCCATATAGGCGCTAGTTCTGAACCTGAAATGTGTTCTGTCTTCCTCCAAATTCTACACTCATGTCAGAGTAAGTTTGACTTAACATATCTCTCACAAATACGACAAAGCTTGTAGATATCTTCCAGTTACACTGTGTCATTTTTTAATTAATAACCCTCTTCACAGTAATCCTGATGACCCAAATAACTTAGTTAAGTCTGTCACATCACTTGCAGGCAATACAGCGTTGGTTTTGAACTCGTCACAGTCTCAACAATAGGAGATCCTGGTTCCCATGGCTTTCAGAAAAAAAGCAGTGGTGACTACAGGTAATACTGACTTAATGAAGTCTTAGAGGTTTGAAACGTACTTCAGATCTTAGTTCTAACAGGTGGTTTCTTCAATCATAGGTGTGGATTTTGCTACTTGGAAGTGGAGAACATATTTGCTGGAGTTTACAACATTATCCCCACCACATTCCTGCCTCAACAAGAGGGTCCTTTTTTCCTAGATTTTAACAGTGCTACTCCTCTTAAGGTATCGCAGCTGCAGTGAGGAGACAGATTTGTGCATTACTGTTTAAGGAGGTGATTTTGATCTGTCCTCCAGTCTGAGAACAGGTGAAGAACTCTTACTACACATGTACATAACAGAAAATTACATTCTAAGTTAAAGCATGGAATCACTGATTGGCCAGTTAATTGCGGTAGAGAGTTAGCTGTAGCTTTTGCTGCTATGGTATGGGAGTGAGCACTGTTCAACAGGCTTGTGAATGGGCTAAAATGCTTATATTCAAATGAACTGGTAAACCTCAAATTTATTGCAATTTTTCCACACTTCAAAGTCTAGTGAGTTACGAGGAAATACTGATGTTGGAATTCTCTTCTCCCAAAAATACAGGGTATATGGGTTTAAGATTTTATTCTTAAAAGTAAACATATAAGAAAAAATATTCCTGTGCATTCTGCTTATCCAGTCTCAGGACCAAATAGCTTCTACTACATATTTGTGCTGCTATCTTGAATGTTTTCAGCATTGAACTAGTTCTCATATCTAAATGTAAATTTACTACTGCTGAGCAAGTAGTATTCCAGACTAACATGCTCCGTTTATCTAGAACGTGCATATAGGAGTAAAGGAAAAGGAAGATTCCTGCTTTAGCCATTTCTAAAAGAAAAGCAATGGCTTCACTCATGTTTCATGTACTTTGAGAGCTGTCATTTCATATCTGTATTACTTTATACATAATATTACAGCACAAGGTACTCGATGACTTTCTTCGACTAGCTGCAAGACCTAGCTTGATGCAGATCAGCATTGAAATCAGGAGGTTAGCCAGCAGTTGCGTACAGACAGGGCAGCACACCCTTCATTTAGCAGGCGTGAAAGGTTTTCATCTAAAGCTGTGCTATAGGATTCTCTTGCTGGGGGAGGAGGTTAGGGAACAACCCACTATCAGCAGCCCAGCAAAGAAATGTTTTATCCTCAACATTTTTGTTGGTATTCAGCTTGCAAGGGAAAGGTCACTTAAACCTCTCCTCCTAATAAACCACAGCCACAAGAAATGCGCTTGCTCATCCCATTATATAGGATCTCTTTTAAAAGGCACCTTTTTCCTTTAAGTTGAAACCAGCGAATGAATTGAGCACTCGGCTAGTGTCATCAGGAGTAGGGTCAAAGTTCTTAAGAAAATAGTGGAAGTGGGATTAGTCTAGAATAAGATCTTTTTTTTTTTTAAGAAGCCTACTATCTATCTCTGCTTTTCCTCCAGAAGATCTATGTACATTCTATCTGAAGAGGATTCAAGACAACCACGTTTTTCTTCTTAATTTAAATACTAACTGCCTCACTGATCCTAAAATACAATGTTTTCTGTCTTTTTACAAATGGCAGCCTTAAAATTCCACTATTTTTGACAGGTGGGGGAGAGGGTGTTTTTAAAACAGTCATAGGAAGTTCTTTGCTATTCCTGTTGGCTTGGCAGCTTTCCAAGCAAAAAGGTAGCATTTAAATCTTTCTTTAAAGGCACAGGTGCCATTTGGTCATTGGGGAACTGAGCACACATATGCTACAGGAGCACCAGAAATATTATCATATTAATATCATAACAAGGCTAAAATTCTTCCTGTAGAAGTCTGCTGTTAGTCCTTTCCAGAAAGTACAAGATCCCTTTTTTGTTTTGTTTCCTTCATCAGACAGCTGCTTAACAAATGTCTAGCTTTAAAAGGGTGCTGAAAGCACAGGCCTTTCTGACTGCCGTTCTCTCAGAGACCATCTGGGCTAGGAAATTTGTGACAAGTTTGTCACAGTGTGACTTACCTTCTCTTGCAGGGAAGTTTCTGATGATTGTTGCACAAATCAATACAGGGAGCAGCATGGGTACAAGCTGAGCAAAAAAAAAAATTAGGTTCTTTGTGGTTATCCTTGGCTTTTGGGAATATGCGCCAAAGGACTGCTACATCCTTACAAAATTAAAAT